CACATGCATTTGAAGGCCTGTTTTCGTTCCAGACGCAGCTTTGACTGACGCTGCATACAACGACGCATAATGTCAAATTGGATACCAGAGGAAATATCAGACGAAAGGAGGAGTAAGTGTGGAAAGCTTTTACGCCCACTCCATAGCCGTAAGGACGCGCGATGACTCTCAAGAGCCCGGGACTGAGGCTTGGCAGTTCACGTTCTCACAGGCTGCAGAAAAAGCGCCGCGCTGACATTTTCAGCGTGTCGTAGCACCATTACGATGAGGCAGCGCTTCGCCGAGAAAAGCGCCGCGCTCATAACTAGCAATCTCGAACATGCCTCGCTGTCAACGCTGAGCGCTTGCGATGTCTTCACGGCGTTGTCTCACGGAATCTTTCGTAGTTTCGTGCCACTCTGTCCAGAACACCCGCTGAGTCAAAGCCTTCATCGATATGCATCAGCTCACTGTCTGACGAAATCTTTCTTAGTTTCGTGCCACTCTGTCCAGAACACCCGCTGAGTCAAAGCCGTCATCGATATGCATCAGCTCACCATAATGAATAACCGTCTCCAGTTTGAATAAGGGCTACGCCTTGAATGCAGTGAGCGTGCATTGGTGCCGACCCGGAGCCTTGTCGAGCCTTTCCTGCGCCAGTCCGTAACTTGCATTTAATGAGTCTCTACGAAGGAGAATCGTACCCATCGTTCTTGCACTGTTCTCGCTGACCACAAAGATCCTCCACAAACGCAATTCCCATAAGAAACAAACCTCATCACAACCTGCAATACCGTGCCAAAGTGAATGCCTTCTGTACGCTTGATACACAAATCTTTTTCCAACAACTGAGCTGCTTCCGTGTATCCGGCTCCCACTAAAACGTACTCCCTGCAGAATCCGCCTTCTCCTGTCCAGAGCTTTTCCAGTTGACGCAGCACCTTCAAGACGCCCACGCGAACCGATGCAAAATATGCTGACACCAAGCGCCCACCCGTCCTAGCACTGAGAAGACGGAACGATCAAACGTGCGGGCCTAGGCGTGGTAGGAGACGAGCGTTCTAGGCCGCGTAGCCATGGCAAAGGGATGATGTGTGCGGTAGCGACAGGCCCTAATGCCATTCCAGTCTCCCATGAGATGGGAAACCAACTCCTCCGCACTGCGGGAGGAACCTATAAGAGCGATGAGCGCGTGGAAGGGACTCAGCCGCTTCCGGAAACGCGACAGAAGTCTGGATCAGAGTCGACCCTGAGTGAAGAGACTCCGGGCGCGACGATGAATAGCAGCAAGAAGTCTGCACAGGCGACAGAAGACGGAAATAGGTCAGACGCGACAGAGATTGTGCCACACTGGTGGAGGGAGACTTGCATGAAAGAGTCTTACGATCAAGGGGGAGCGTTGTGCTGTGCGGGTGCGACGGCGGTACTTCGCGTTGAGCTCGTAGGGAGTCTTTGTGACGCCCTCTTGGACACTGGGGCTTCGAGAAGTTTCATTAGTCCTAAGTTGGTCGAACGACTGCAGCTGAAAGTGCGGAGACTAGCAAAGGAACATAGGTTCACCATTGCTACAGGTGCGCAATTACGCATTGATCGGGTAGTGACGGGATTGACGTTGTGGTGCGGACATACACGTTTTTCCGGGGACTTTTTAGTGGGACCCGTTCCCTACGACTTAGTCTTGGGTTTGGATAGGCTGACGGAACACAAGGTGGCCTGGTACTTCCAGTCTGACAAACTCCGAACCTATGTGAATGGCCAGTGATGCGAGTTACCAGTCGTTCGGACTGGTGAATCGACACTGTAAAGTGATAGTCCCACCGTAGTCGACCCACGGACTCCAGCAGAGCAAGCATACGAGATCTTGGCCAAACAAGTGGCGGGTATGTCAGCCGAGGAGGCAGCTGTATTCCTACGCCCGCCTCCAAGGAGGTATAAGTCCCACCCGAAGACTAAGGCAAAGGCGCGGATAAATTCGCTCGTTCGTCAGGCGGCGGACGATACTAACGATCTCAGGACTCCGTTGCATGGTTTGCATCTCATACTGGCTTTGCCCGAGGCTTGTTCGGCAGTGCCCTTAAGGCTCTCGGATGAATGGCAAGGCGCGCTTTGTTGCGCACTGATAGGGAGTCAACCCACGTCCTCCGGCTGCTGTAGTCCTTTGGCCTCAACAGCCTCGGTGACAGCGGAGAGTGACGAGGAGTCTCCCTGGCCTATGGCAAAACTCGAGCACACTCTATTCGACGAATGGATAAACGACTGAGGCGCAGGATATTCCATGTGAGGTTGCCCAGGTGTTGCACGAGTATCGGGCGGTTTTTCCCGATACCTTGCCTAAAGGCTTACCTCCGAAGCGCCCTCATGATCATCATATTCTCCTGGCGCCTGGAAAACTCCCAGCGAGATCTGCAATCTACCGTATGACTCCAGATCAGCTCACTTTCCACAAACAGGAGATAGCTGAATTATCGGATAATGGTTGGATCGGACCGGCCTATTCGCCTATTTGCTCTCCTACGACCATGTTGGACAAACGTGATGATGGCTCCGGGGAGCGGAAGATGCGGATGGTTCTCAATTACCAGGCTCTAAATGCCCTTACGATAGCCCCTGATTTTCCACTACCACCCATTCAAACCATTCTGTAGCTGCTCGGAGGCGCCAAGTATTTTTCCACCTTGGACCTGGATGATGCCCTTCGGCCTTAAAGGTGCTCCCGCTACGTTCCAGGCCAATATTAATTCCTATTTACAACCTTTATTGGGTCAGGGCGTTATTGCATACCTGGATGATGTACTTATCTATAGTTCTGATCTCTCTGGGCACATCTCTCTTCTGTGACAAGTCCTAAGCATTTTTCTTCGACACCAGTTCTACCCAAAATTCCGCAAATGTAAGTTTGCACGGCAAACAATTACCTATTTGGGTTATACTGTATCTGCTACGAGGATCAAACCCGCAGACGACAAAATCGAAGCCATCCGGCATTGGCCAGAGGTGCTGGAGAAGGAAACGCAAGTGCGCCAGTAACTCGGTACCATAAATTACTGTCGCATGTTTATGGGACCGGACTATGCAGACGTTCCCCGGCCGCTGGTTGATCTTACGCGTAAAGACGTCAGTTTCGAATGGACAGAACTTCACAAGCAAGCGGTGCGGCAGCTCAAACAGCGCTTAATAGACTTCACTACATTACAGGTCCCTTACACGACGAAACCTTTCGAGTTATACACAGATGCCTCTGGTTATGCGATCGGAGCAGTTCTCGAACAAGACGGCAAACCCATCGGCTTCCTCAGCCAAGTCATGAACCCCACGCAACAGAGATACTCGATCTACGATCAGGAACTCTTGGCGTTGGTCATGGCGCTGGACAAGTGGTCGCTCTTGCTCCGTGTCTCCAAGGTAACGGCTTACACTGATCATCAAGCTCTCACCCATCTCCAGCGACTCCAAGCATCGAAGCCTCTGCGCGGACGCACCGCGCGGTGGCTAGACTTTCTTGCGAAGTTCCCAGATTTGCACATCACGTATGTTCAAGGCGCGCGCAATCAAGTTGACGACGCCCTGTCTCGCCATCCCGGCCTTCCTAACACCTGCTCGCACGACACACCACCGGTACCACTGATGCTCGCAATAGGACAAGCGAGCGCGGCTCCCCGCTCTCGTGGTCGGCCTCCCAACTACAGGGAGCTCGCCGGAATTCGTTTGTGACGACCTAGACGACGCAGCCTGCCGTCCGCAGCTTCACCTGCGCCGCCGGCACCCACCCCAAAGGCGGAACAACCTACACTCACAACGAAGCCACCAGCTGACCCTCCTGATATGCGCCAGTGGCCGCAAGCCTACTCGAAGTGTCCTGTTTTTCGCGTTCCCTACAGAGCCGCAGCGAACCAACCAGGAGAAGCTCTGCAAATCGAGTTTTGTAATTGCCAATTCATCTTTCGTTACGTAGAGCCTTACCTGCACATCCGCGTTCATTGACTGTGGCGCATCTGCGTCTCACAGTTCCCTGAGTTCCTTACTCAAGTTCTGCATTCACATCACGACCATGTCACAGCCGGCCATCAAGGCCAGAAGAAGACCTTTGCGGCTCTCAGCAAGCACTACTACTGGCCAGGAATGCGCGCCTACACTACTGCATATGTTGAGTCATGTACCCACTGTCGAGCGTCAAGAAGCCTGCAGGCCTTCTTCAACAGTTGCTCATCCCTTCTCGTCGATGGGCGCACGTGAGTCTCGACTTTATCACAGATCTTCCCCTTACAACGACAGGGCACGACTCGATTCTTGTCATGGTCGACGCCCTTACCAAGGTGGCTCATTTCGTTCCTGCAAAGAAGTCATTCACAGCAGCACACACCGTGGAGCTTCTCGCAAACCGCCTTATCCGCTATCACGGTTTTCCAGAGGTGCTCATATCGGACCGCGACCCCCGTTTCCAGTCGGATCTTTGGAACCAGCTCTGTCACCGCTTTAACATCAAACGGTGCATGTCCTCATCCTACCATCCCTAAAGCGACGGCTAAACTGAACGGGTTAACCGCACACTGGAGCAGATGCTTCGTACCTATATCAAATCTGACGAACGCGAGTGGGAGCGTTTGCTTCCGGCCTTGGAGCTTTCCTACAATACAGCAACTCATTCATCCACTGAGCTCTCTCCCTTCGAGGTCATGATTGGCGAGAACCTGTTGACTGCTGCGAATTTTGATACCGTAGGCGCGTTAGCCCCTACGCCCACTCCTCCGATGACTAAGCTTTTCCGGCAGCTCTACGACAGAGCGCAGAGCCGCATCCTGAAGGCAAAGGGGCAGCAGAAATATTACGCAGACACAAAGTACCGAGCTGTGAAGTATGCAGTGGGGGACAAGGTTTCGCTCAGCAGCAAGCACCTACCGCCTTTCAACAGCTGCCCTAAGTTCGAGCCCCGTTACCGAGGACTCTTTGAAATCATTAAACGAATAGGCATCGTCGCTTACTGTCTTGCTTTGCCTCCTATGTATGAATGCCACAACGTTTTTCATGTTGCACTACACCTGCACTGGTGCCGGCGCTATCCCCAGCCCCAGTCTCCATACATTTTCCACACATTTCACGTATGCACATTAACTCTTAGACAATTTGCCTTACTTTTATCCTAGTAGGAAGGTCCTGTCCTCCTCCAGTGTTGCGACCCCTTGTAGGTCGCTAGCTAGCTATCATCTATCGGTCACTAGCAAGCCCCATTGTAGTGCCTGTGCACTACATGCATGCTGCAAGCTGCACTATCTAGATGCAGTAACAAGGCAAAACCAAAAAACAATTTCGTTTTGCTTAACAAATCTAAAAGAGCAGAACGTATTGCTCAACGGCATGCTTAGATATTATGTGACAGGGTCAAGGAAAAGAGCATCTAAGACTCGATAAGGGTTTTGCCACGTGTACAACTTAATAAAGCCACGAACCCCTGTAAAGTAATTGACAGTGCTAGGCGCAAATGCGAGTTGAGCAGCACAAGTATTTCTTACATTTGCCAAATTTTACCTTAATCACAAGGATGCGCCATATTTCGAGCTGTGTGACAACGCAACCCACACTGCAGACATGAAACGCCACAGGAAAACCATTGCCCATTTTATTGCAAACCCCAGCACTATGGTCCGTCATGTTGTTAATATAATCCGCTAGCGCTTCACAACCATATTTGGTAAAGGACGAATAATCTTTGTAGAGCTGCTTAGCACAATTAGTTTTCTCTACTCACGAGCTGAGCGAAACATTTATCACGTTGCAAGACAAAAACACGATCAGAACGCAATGATGACTCGGAGGAAGAAATCGCATGATACAGTAGCTCATGGCGAGCACAAGGAATATCCACTGGCACGCGACAGTAGCTAAGAATTTATCAACGCTGAGCGCGAGGATAACCGTACGAGTGGCTTTCGCACCTCGAGCGTCTGCCGACAAAAAACAACATGAAGCATATTAAAAAGGTAAACAGCATAAACGACTATTTGATTTTGCGACGATAAGCGCAAACATGGCCTTTGGAAGCCTTTTGTAAATGGCGCGAACATTTGACGCTTCCTCGAGGCCTTGATGCTGCATTCACGTTGACTTCAGCTAGTCCTGTTGCAATCAGGAGTTCTCCTTTTTCCTGTTGGGGCAACACCAGCTCAAGAAAGCGTACATATTTGAAAAGCACGGATGGCAGCGAGCCAGCAGCATTACTTTGAATAGTCGTTTGCAGCTATGACTGCTAAACGCTGTGTGATGCTTTCTGTGATCGGGCTGCTGGACCTGGAAGATTCACGCATACCCGTGAAAGTGAGAGCATGAATTCATTGTGTTGCTTGAAACACAATTGGACCTGTCACTAGTTGGCAAATGAGAGAAAAGATAATCGGGCCACAAACAGATAAACTGTAAAGCGTCCAACACGTTAATGACGGATAGGCTTCGAACGAGGCATAGTTCTGCTGTGGGTGTATCACTGGACTATACTGAGCCAAACATCACTATCTAAACAATCGCGCTGTAAGGCCAGGGCTTAATGCCAATCTCCCCGCAAATTGATTTATCTTTCGCAAAAAAGCGTAAGGCAGTGGGAACTATGAGAGTGTGGACAACTCTGTTCACAGTGCAGCTAAACAGACCTAATTGCACTTATTTGCACTCTGGAAAAGTTCAAAGAGCAGGAGGATACAAAGATATATTGTATTCGTTTTGTTGCAGTCAGGCCGCATTGTTAGGAGTGCCTCAAGAATTCTCGTTCAACATGAAGGAAATCGCAGTTTTCGAAATACTTCTACAAAGGCACCAACAAGCATGATTACGTACAAACCAATACACATAAACGAGTCTGCATGGACATTAGATGCCGTTTCTTTGCTGGTCACGTGAATTTCGTTAATCTGTGATTTGACGGTGCTTGCATGGCTTCACACTTTTAGCTCGCCACTATAGCACAGCCTATATAGAACACTGGGCAAATTACAAATGTGCTAACTGAGAGTTCGGCTCAGAACAGCCTCAGTCGTCTGGTTGCCATAGCGTGGGTCAGCCAAACTGAGTGCTCTTTGTAGTGCAGCAACGTTTTCGCCATTGAGTACCCGTTAAGCATTCATAACGGTATGTGACGGGGCAGGTGGCCGGAGTTCCTTTCTGTATCAGTTGAGCATGATATAGACAGCACGCGATTCAAGTGTTGGACTGACCTACACGAAAAGACCTCATTCCGGATTTACTTAAAAATTAATAGAAGTCCACTCTTGCACAACAGTAAGCACACTTTCGATCACTGAAAATAAATTTGTGGTGTCCAGGGGCGAGAGTTTGTTCTGACTTGCCTATGCATGCGGCTATTGGATGTATCTGAAGCTTTCCTGTGCCTGTTGCAAACAATCATATACACTTTGGGACATTGTTAAATAAGGGGCACGATACCTTTGTTGCACTGACTGGCACGCTGGAGCGCTTACTTAGCGCAAGTTAACTGGCATTTTTCCACTAAGAGACCTAAAAGCTGTCCGCCAAAAAAGAAGGCTCTACGAAATTCGGCAGAAGAAGCGCGCGATAGATTTATTAGCTTGCCCCTCGACGCAGTCTGCTAAAATATCGCAACCAAAGACCAGAAAGTTTTCTGCAGCGCAGTCGCGCTCCAAATACTTTCATTGCAACTCGAATGCACATCCTTGAACGGCAACACTTAGACAAATCTCTTGTTTCGCCTTCTGTTTAAAGCAGCGTTGGACTCTACACCTTCAAGTGGGTGGCTGTCGTTTCGAGATACGCATGATTACAGAATAATCGCAGTGTTTGAAGACTATGCTCATGATTCTATTAGCGGTTTAACGCACTGCAGCTCGCAACTCACGATCTGAGGTGGTTTTGGAGGAAACCTGGTTCATTGCTCCTTTAGAGTCAATTAACGATAACACTGCCAACGCAAGCAGCATCACGCGTTCCGGCATCCATGTCAACATCGGGGCAGCAGCACGCAAGCTTTTCCAGGTCTCCGTAGCGACCATGCTAGGTTTTCAACACTTCTGCACCCCAGTATTATGCATACGAACTGAATCAGTCAAGCCGAAAAAAAACGTTTGTACCGTTCATGAGTCCTGTTGGCAGGAACACCTGCGTGTCTTTCGAAGACCTCAACTAATTTTTAGAGAGCCTGGAATAGACTGCCGTTGACCATCGTCCCGACTGCTTTCCCATCCCAAAACATAGAAACCGCACGATCTGAATCAGTAAAGTCAGGAAAAGCGTTTGTATCGTTCATGAGGCTATACATGTTGGTCCTGTTGGCAGGAACACCCGCGTGTCTTTCGAAGATTTCCCCCAATTCATAGAAGGCCTGGAATAGACTGCCATTGACCATCGTCTCAACTGCTTTGCCATCCCAAAACATAAAACACCCACGCTGTGAATCAGTCTAGCCGGAACACAGGCGTTTGTACCGCTCATGAGGGCGTACCTGCTTGTCCAGCTGGAATGAACACCTGCGTGTCCTTCGAATCTTTCTTCTAATTTTCAGGGGGCCTCTAGTAGACTTTCTTTAACCCTTGTCTCCATTGCTTTGCCATCCCGAATTTTTTGCTGCTAATGGAAACACACGAGCTGAGTTGGTCATAATGCAGTCTTGGTTTCGCGCCTCTTAAAGCCAAATAAAAACGTTAATCCCAAAACACTGCTTTCCAATAATGCTAGCTCTGCAACCCCTCCATATTAGTCTACCATCCGCTCAAGTACATTTTCTGTTACTGCGAAGCCCAACATGTCGTAGTGACATAGAGGTAGGACTGCTTCTTTGCTTCCCTATATCAGTTATAACGTTTCATCCAACAGCAGATTAGCAAGTCCTTTTAGAGAGCTGTAGCCCTGCATTTGATCTACCTTTAAAAAGCCCGAATTCCCTTTCTGAATATTTGCAGCTTTCCAGGAAACGCACCGCCTAAGGTGATGACGTTAAAACTGTGTTTTTATTTCTCTCCACTTAAACAGAAATGGGCGCCTCGCCAACAAATATATAATCTTGCGCTCCGATTATCCACGGCAGCAGAATTTGTGCAAAAATAATCAATCTCAAGCCCCGAAGTCTTTAGATGAGATTTGAAACGTACAGTCTTAGGTAAAGGCACAGCAAAACAACTCTATCGTACATACCAGCATGAGGCTTAACAGGCTTTTGTGGTGGCGTTGGGACAAAGAAACTGCCATGAATGCAACAGTTGCCGGAATATCTGCACCGCGACAGGGAACGCACGATCTACAGTGGTTATGTTGATGACACACACTTTTCAAGTCCTTCTTCAAAATTATTCAAGCCCTTCTTTTAGATTAGGCGTTAAGGAAAAAGCGTAGCTCTAGCCTGTCAGCCTAAAGCCGAATCGGAAGCCTCAACACACGCTCTATATAAATCAGGAAGGAAAAAGATCCAAAACTTCTGGTGGCTCAGACCAAGAATAAGTACCTCAGTAGCAGTTGAATTCATGTTGCCCTCCTCTGCCAAGTTTGTGGGGAACAAAACAGTGACAGAGGTAGTTTTGTTGTGAGATATGCTGCACCCAAGAAACCCTTTTGCAGCCAAGAGCGCACAATCTAGAGAGTTTCGTCGTGGAAAAAGATATACACTCTTTGCGTTTCACAACAGTGATGGACAGTTCACTAAACACAGCTCATTCAGAGTACCTCCTTCCAAGGTGGACAAGCCACTGGGCACCATCGCCAGTGCGCCATTTCGTTAAATGCTCCCAGAACTGTTTGAAACGCGGAACGCACGGCCTGATGGAATCAATCTATATAAACGAGACGGCACTTTGGCCTTATGGGGGCAACTAAGGGAGTCTTTTCGTGCCGGCAGGGACATAGCCTTTAACCTGACCTGATACTGTACTTTTGCACACATCCCGTGATGCAGTGATCCGCAAAATCCAGAGTTATGCCGCTTCTCTCTGTCAGTTCTTAGGACTGAAGGTGCGAAGGGCAGCATACTACACGGAACGACAGGGCTAATAGTCTCCCATGACAAATGCGACTCCATCATAATCTACGAACTGGCATGTCCTAGCCCGAGTATGAAACATGCATCTGTATGAGAGCAAATGCAATGCACGCAACAGCGGAAAAACCCGGATTGCTAAATCATGAATGAGCTTGCTGCGGTCTTTTATATTTTCCCTGCACGCAGACTCCTGGACTAGGCGAGGGGTTTGTTGAGAATTCACACGAGAGCGTTATACTGCTTCTGCGAAACACTTTCGTAACTGACAGAAGCGCCACATGAGTGGGAACTTTATTTGCACACTGAATGCCGCACAAGCTCCAGATTCCAAGACGATTTTATTTGAATCAGCGACGCACGTGACACCTCTCTAGCGGCTTAAAGCTCTTTGCTGGCTTTATCAAGCCTGCAGATACTTTCGAGAACTGTGCCTCCCGCTCCACATTCCCAGAAGCATCACTGACAACCGGAAAGTCCCCCAACCATCAATGCTTGCTTTTGTCACCCATATAATTCTGTTGAAAACTTCACCAGGTAAAGAGCATGACAAAACTCGGAGAAAACGCCCTTAAATTAGTCCACATGGAAATCTCCAAGTCACTGAGCCATGTACTTCGCGACACGCAAACACCCAAAAAACTGCAATCTCTAAAAACCTGCAGTCACTAAAAGACAGGCTTTCAAATTCAACACACAAATTGAAATCATAAAAGCTGGTGACTTCCGCTATCAGCAGCAGAGTCCTTAGCACGAAGTGGAGAACTGGATAGCTTTTAGGAACTGCTGAAGTGCATTTGGCATTAGAGTGGTTGTGGAGATGTCCTTACTAGTAATAAATCCAAAACAACTCTCCTATAAGTTCCATTGTTGCTTAAATAGTTTGTGGCAGACACTGTTGGGTTTCTGTTCACTGACGAAGACGCTAGATGTTAACTGCACCGCTAACTGCTTGAAACAACTTCTGTCTCAGTCTCATTTTTTAATTTTGAAATTTTCGTTTCTTCTGCTTCTAAAAGGTCTACAAACAAAGCCAAATGCCAGCAAAAAATACCCAGTAAGTCCACAGCCCCAAACGACCAACAGTGGAAAAGGGGCCCCTCCAGGGGCCCCTCAGGGGCCCCCTCAAGAAGCCCACAGGGCCCCTCAGGGGGCCCCAAAGGGTTCCCACGGGGCCTGAAAGGGGGCCCCTCGAGGGGCCCCCTTTGGGCACCTTAAGGGGTCTCTAGGGGCCCCTTAGGAGGCACCTTAGGGGGGCCCTGAGGGGGGGCCTTAGGGGCACCCAAAAACACCCTTTGAGGCCACCAGAGGGCCCCCCAAAACCCTAGAGAGTCCAAAAGGGGCGCCCAACACTCAAGGGGGGCCCCCAGGGAAGACTTGGGAGCCCCTACACCCACAAATGGGTCCTTGGGCTGTTGAGGGGCCCCCAGCGAAGCAAGGGGGCCCCCAAGTTCTGCAGAAAGTCCCTAACCCCCCAGTGACACCCAAGGGCACCTTTACCTGCAAAACCCCTTCTTGCCACGCAGTGGGGGCCCCTAGGGAGCAGTGGGGCCCCCTGGGGCCCCCCTTGGGCACCCTCCTGAGGCCCCCACGGGGACCCCCTGGGGCCTCCCCTGGGGCCCCCCTAGGGCGTCCCCTGGGGCCCTCCTGGGGCCCCAAGTGCAGCAGGGGGGCCCCTGAGAGGTCCGCGGGGGCCCCTTTCGCAGCGAGTGAGCTCCCGTGACGCCTCAAGGGCCCTAAGCGGTGCGGAGGGGCCCCCAGCACAAACCACTGGGGGCCCCTACCACTGCACGGGGGGCCCCCATTACTGCAAGGGGGCCCCTAGTGCTCAGAGGGGGGCCCCTGGTACCCCAAGGGGGGCCCCTGCTACCCCAAAGGGGCCCCCAGCACTGATAGGGGGGCCCCCAAGAATGCAAGGGAGGCCCCCAGGACTGCAAGGGAGGCCCCCAAGGCTGCAAGGGGGGCCCCCAAGACTCCAGGGGGGCCCCCAAGACTGCAGGGGGGCCCCTAATACTGGAGGGGGGGCCCCTGAGTGGGCAAAAGTCCAAACCTCTTCTTTAAAGCAACTCTTTGCGCCGAAAATTTATCATCTGGAGAAAAGCGGGGGGGGTGAGCTGATAGGGTGGGCTGGCCCGAGGGGGAGTGGCTCTGCAAAACGCCCAAACCCTAAACCCTAAACCCTAAACCCTAAACCCTAAACCCTAAACCCTGGGCCCTGGGAGGAGGGGGCAGCCAAACGCAAGAGCTTACCGCTAGGGTGTAAACCCTCTGGCCTTTTTCGTTCAGGTAAAAGCGCAGGTACATCTTCGATCCCAAACCCTAAACCCTAAACCCTAAACCCTAAACCCTAGGAGATCCCTGGGGGAGGAGGCTGCGAGGGGAAACAAAGAAGCTTCGTCGACCAAATAAAAATTAAAAGCAAACGCCAAATTGCAAAATGACAAACTGTAAACCCTAAACCCTAAACCCTAAATCCTAGAAGAGGGGAGGCCCCTTTCCCAGAGGGCCTCGGGTCAAGATCAGCCCCACAAAGGCCCTAAACCCTAAACCCTAAACCCTAGACCCTAAACCCTAAACGCTAATCTACTGACTCCCCAAAAGCTCAACCAAAGCCATTCTTGGTTTTCAGAAGCCATTTTGTCGCTGCAACGCTAAACCCTAAACCCTAAACCCTAAACCCTCGGCCCGCCCGGGGGTGTTACTGGGGGCCCACTTCCCGCAGCGGGGCCCAGCAGCCCAAACCCTCCCTTAGTAAACCCTAAACCCTAATCGCTAAACCCTCAAGCTGGCCATGGGGGGGCCAAACCCTAACTTCGCCTCTTAGCGTTTTGCTGCGCCGAAGGCTGGAGGGAATGTCTTGCAGCAGCAGCAGCAGCAGCAGCAGCAGCAGCCATAACGGCTGCAGCAAAAGAAGCAGCAGCAAGGGGACCCAGAGCTCTCTCAAGGACTTCTTCAGCCCCCACAACGGGGTCCCCAGCAGGGCCCCATTGGGGGCCCCGGGGGCCCCTGGGGGCCCCCATGGGGGCCCCCAGGGGGTCCCCCAGGGGGGCCCCCTGGGGGCCCCCAATGGGGGCCCCAAAGGGGGGCCCCCCTCAGAAGTCATTGACCTCACAGAGGGCCCCAAGGGGGGGGGGGGCCCTGGCCAGGGGGCCCCCCAGCCCCATTTGCTGCCAGCCCGGAAGCGGACTCTGCCGTGGGAGCAGCAGCGCGCTGCAGCAGCAGCAGCAGCAGCAGGCGGTGCTGCCGGGCCCCTGCCAGCAGCAGCAGCAGCAGCAGATCCTGTTGCTGCTGCATGCGCTGCTGCAGGGCTTCCCCTAGCTGGCCTCGGCAGCAGGGCCCCAGCCACGCTGCGGCTGCTGCTGCCGCTGCGGCAGTGTGTTGCTGCTGCTGCTTCTCATCTGCAGCATTTGCTGCTGCCTGAAGAGCTGCAGTGCATGCGCACTTTGGCGGCCCTTTTGGGGGCCCCTTGGCCTGCAGCAGCAGCAGCAGCAGCAGCAGCAGCGCCAGCAGCTGCTGCTGCAGCTAAAGGAGAGGCGGCGGCAGAAGCAGAAGCAGCAGCAGCAGGCACAGCAGTAACAGCAGACACACACACAGCAGCAACAGCAGCAGCAGCTGCAGGCACAGATGCAGCAGCAACTGCAGACGCAAACATAGCAGCAGCAGCAGCAGCAACAGCAGCAGCAGCAGACATGCCTGCTGCTGCTGACGAAGCAGCAAACCAAAGCCCCCTCAGCGAGGGGGCCCAGCTGCTGCTGGCCCGCATGCTGCTGCACCTGCTGCGTCTCAGTTTTGCTCCAGACCGCCCCCCTGCTGCAGCGCGGCGTGTCAGCCCCAGCAGCAGCAGCAGCAGCAGCAGCAGCAGCAGCAGCAGCCCCTGGATTAGGCTGCCCCCGCTGCTTCGAGTGGCTCGAGAAGTGCCTCATGCTGCTGCTGCGCTGCGAGAGCTCGTTGGCCGCGGGCTGCTGCTGCTGTGGACTCCCCAGACGCTGCCAGCAGCAGCAGCAGCAGCAGCAGCAGCAGCAGCAACGTGCGGCCGCTGCGCAGCAGCAGTAGACGGCGTTTGCGCATGCAGCTGGGCCCCCGCGCTGCAGTGCCTTTCTGCTGCTGAAGTCAAAGCAGCAGCAGAAGGGGCCCTGGGGGCCCTGGGGGCCCTCAAGGAAGTGTGGGGCCCCCCGGGGAAGTTGAAGACCCGGGGAGAGACTGTCTCTTATCTGCAGCAGCTAGCTGCTGGCCACAAGCCCAGCAGCAGCAGCAGCAGCAGCAGCAGCAGGAAGCTGGAGGAGTTCTTTGGGGCTGCCGTTTCGAAGGGCCCCGCGAAGCCTCGTGCTGCTGTTCCTGCTGCTGTTGCTGCTGCTATTCGCAGCGTCCGGGAGGGCCTTGTGAGGGTCTGCTGCTGCTTGGGGAAGCTGCAGCAGCAGCAGCTGCTGCTGCGGTCGCTGCGGCTGCTGTTTGTTGCAGTGCATGCGCCGCATGCAGCAGCTCTGGGGCCCACAGCAGCAACAGCACCGGGCTACGTTGTTGCTGCTGCCGGCAACATTGTGCTGCGCTGCTTGCAGCAGCAGCTGCAGCAGAAGCAGCAGCAGCAGCAGCGGCAGCAGCAGCAGCAGCAGGAGCTGCAGCAGCAGCAGCAGCAGCACGAGGAGGAGCTGCTGGCACTGGCCTGTGCTGCCATGCTGCCCGCAGTCTACAGAGTCTCCCATCTTGTAGACCTCGAGCTGAGGAAGCTGCCGCGGCCCCTGCAGCAGCAGCAGCAGCAGCAGCAGCAGCAGGGGCAGCCGCAGGTGTTTTATGAGGTGAAGGCGCTGCTTCCAGGGGCAGCAGCAGCAGCAGACACCCAGGAAACACCAAACGGTAGCAGCAGCAGCAGCAGCAGCAGCAGCACTGGCACCGACGGCGACGCAGGCACCCACGCGGCCTGCGTGGCAAGCAGCAGCAGCAGCAACGGCAGCAGCAGCAACGACAGCAGCAGCAACAGCAGCAGCAGCATTGACAGCAGAAGGCCATCAGCAGCAGCAGGCGTTGCAGAAAGCACAGATGCTCCAACTGCTGCAGGTGTGCCCCACTGTTTCCCTGCTGCAGCAGCAGCACCAGCAGCACCAGCAGCAGCAGCAACAGCTGCTGCTGCTGGCGCTGTTGTTGCTGCAGCAGCAGCAGCTATGAATGAAAGCGAGCAGTCTCGGTTGCTGCCGGTTTGGCGCTGCTGCTGCTGCTGCTGCGCGCACCAGCAGACCCTCGACGCAACAGCAGCAGCAGCAGCAACTCGAGAGCAGGTTGTCGATTTTGCTGCTGCTCTTCTGGCGGAGCTGCGAATGTCCTACGCAGCAAGTGAAGCAGCTAAACCCTCAGCAGCAGCAGCAGCAGCAACAGCAGCAGCAGCAGAGAAAGAGGCGCTGCATCTAGCTGCTGTTGCGGAAGCCCTCCTGAGGCTCCACATAAAAGAGAGGGAAGCAGCACTACAGCAGCAGCAGCAGCAGCAGCAGCAGCACCGGGAAACAGCAGCAAGCTGCAGCAGCTGCGTGAAAGACGAAGATTGTGGGGCGCCCAAAAGCTGCAGAGAGACCCCACAAGCAGCAGCAGCCGCAGCAGTAGCAGCAGCAGCAAACAGTCCCGCAGCAGCAGCAGCTGCTGCAGCAGAGGTTTACCTGCTGCGGTTTCGCTCCCCTTATGTTTTGGCTGCAGTGGTGTGGCAGTCTGTCCAGCTGCTGGAGCAGCAGCGGCAGTATGCTGCTGCTGTTGAGCGGCTGCTGCTGCTGCTGCGGCTGCACGAGCTGTACACTTTCTCCCTCGCAGCAGCAGCAAGCCCAAAGCCACAAGACGACAAAGAGGCTGGCCTGCTGCACCCAAAGCAGCAGCAGCAGCAGCAGCAGCAGCAGCAGCAGCAGCGGATCGGGGTGTACCAAAGCCGCGTGGGCAAGTGGTACAACCGGCTGACGGTGCTGCTGCTGCAGCACCTGCAGCAGCAGCAGCTAGCTGTTGTCCAGGGAGTTCGCTGCTTAAGAGAAGAAGCACTTTTGCGAAAAGCAGAAAAGCACGAGTTGGCTCGTCGGCTGATCAAGGCTGCGGTGTCTGTACACCGCAAGGGCCTGGCAGCAAACTGGCAGCAGCTGCAGCAGCAAGCGCGGGAGCAGCAGCAGCAGCAGCAGCAGCAGCAGGTTTGCATTGCCACCGACAGCAGCGAGTCAGACGCAGGCGGACACACATCTTCCGGCGCCAGGCGGCGCCGCGACGCCAGCAGCAGCAGCAGCAACAGCAACAGCAGCAGCAGCAGCAGCAGCAGCAGCAGCGACAGCAGCAGCACAGAGCGCCCAGTAGCGCGCAGGGGAAGGCGAAGAAATCTTCGCGGGCGTCTCCGCGCTCCCCCAAGTAAGCGGCGAAAAGCTGCAGAAGCAGCAGCAGCAGCAGCAGCAGCAAATACCGGCAGCAGCAGCAGCAGCAGCGAGCCACGTGCGGGGACCGAGGATAAGGAGCAGCAGGAGCAGCAGCAGGAGCAGCAGCACGAGTTTCTGGCGCTGCTGCCCCGCGACGTGCACGCGGCGGTGCTGGAGGAGTACAAGGAGCAGCAGCAGCTGCAGCAGCTGCTGCCGGTGTCAGTGGTGACTGCGCGGCCGCTAGCAGCAGCAGCAGCAGCAGGAAGAAGCAGCATTTTTGTGGGCTGGGATGGCCAGCTGCTGCGGGTGGAGCAGCTCGCGCTGCAGCACTATTTCATTTGCGGCAGCTGGCGTGGGGCCCACGACGAAGGTGCTGCGCTGCGTTCTCTGTTTCTAATACTCACTGCAGCGCAGCAGCAGCAGCAGCAGCTGCTGCAGCAGCAGCAGCAGTTGCTGCAGCAGCAGCCGCAGCAGCAGCGGGCCGGCAGCGCCGCTGCGCAGCTTGCGCTCCCGAGTGAGAACGGACTGCAGCAGCTGCAGCAGCTGCCGCTGCTGCAGCAGGGAGAGGCAGCAGCAGCAGGTGCAGCAGCAACAAACAATGGCGGCCTCGCTGTTGTGTTCCTGCCAGCAGCAGACCCAGCGGTCCAGCAGCTGCTGCTGCCGGAGCAGCAGCAGCTGCTGCAGCAGCTGCTGCAGCAGCTGCAGCGCAGCAGCCGCGCCGAAGTGCATGCGCTCGTCAAGCGCGCTGTTGCTGCAGTGTACGGACAGCAAATCCGTGGGGTCTGTTGGGTTTGGGAGGCGCGTGAAGAGGGGCAGTACGCAATGGCAGACCAGCAGCAGCAGCAGCAGCAGCAGCAGCAGCAGCAGCGGGAGGATAGACTGGGCAGCAGCCAGTTTGATGCGGAGGGAGAAGAGGAGACGGAGGTAGATTTCGAGGGCCTTGACAACGTGGACATCGCGGTGCTGCCCTCGCAGCAGCAGCAGCAGCCGCAGCAGCAGCCGCAGCAGCAGCAGCAGCAGCAGCAGCAGCAAGGCAAAGCAGCAGACTGCGCCGAGTTCTACGCCCGAATTGCTGCAGCTATTGGGGGCCCCGCCCTCGCAGCAATCTTTTCGCTTTTGGGCGAAGACTACAGAAGTTGGGCCCCTGGGCTTCCGGACCTCATTCTCTGGAGACCTCGCCAGCAGCAGCAGCAGCAGCAACAGCAGCAGCAGCAGCAGCAACAGCAGCAGCAGGAGCAGGAGCAGCAGCAGCAGGAGCAGCAGCAGCAGCAGCGCGAAGCGCCGTCGAAGCAAGAGAAGCCGGAGGAGCAGGAGAAACCCCACAATCAGCTCCGGGCAGGAGAGGCACAAGAAACCCAGCAGCAGCAGCAGCAACAGCAGCAGCAGCAGCAACAGCAGCAGCAGCAACAGCAGCAGCAGCAGCAGCAGCAGCAGAAAGAGCAAGACTGCTGCGCAGACTGGGAGGTGATGCTGGTTGAGGTGAAGGGCCCCCGAGACTCTCTTTCAGACAAACAGAAGTGCGCGCAGCTTCTTGGGGCCCCTCTGTTTCATTTTGCTGCTGCTGCTTCCTTTTGTGTCTTTTGCTTCTTTGCTTCTTTATTTGCTGCTTCGCCCGTCTCGCGCTGGTTTCAACGTGCTGCTGCTGCTGCTGCTGCTGCTGCTGCTGCTGCTGTTGCTCTTGTGGCAGTCGTGGCTGTTGCTCCAGGTGCAGTTGCTGTGCTGCTGTCTACCTGCAGTTGCTGCTGCTGCTGCAGATGCTGCTCTTGCTGCTGCTGCTGCTGCAGATGCTCCTCTTGCTGCTGCTGCTGCTGCTGCTGCTGCAGTTTGTTTTAGGCTTATGTGGGGACGCTGCGTCTGCAGGTGTTGGCTGCTGCGGCTGCTGTCGTTGGGCCTAAAGGCTGAAATTTGCAAAGTGGCAGAGCCGGAGGTCACTGACCGCATGCTGCAGCAGCAGCAGCAGCAGCAGCAGCAGCAGCAGCAGCAGCAGCAAAGGGAGCAGCACAGCGAGCAAGAAGCTCAGGAAGGGGAGGCTGGCGAGGCCCCTGCATCTGCCAAGGCTGCTCGAGGGAGACACAGGAAGGCAGCAGCAGCAGCAGCAGCAGCAGCAGCAGCAGCAGCAAAGCGGCGGCAGCAAAAGGGCCCCAAGCCCAAACGGGGTGTACGTACACCGCAGCTCAGGACCCTCGCTAGCGAACCCGATGCTGCTGCAATTGCGCGGATAGAGGGGGTCGGGCGTTAGGCCTAAACCCTAAACCCTAAACCCTAAACCCTAAACCCTAGAGCCGCTTTTCCTAAGCCGAAGCACCTGCAGCGGCAGCCAGCCGAAGGCCTGCTAACCAGGAGCGTCTAAACCCTAGGGTTTACAAGGGGCCGCCTTTAGGGTTTAGGGTTTTAGGGTTTAGGGTTTAGAGTTTAGAGTTTAGGGTTTAGGCGTGGCCAGTGCTTGGGCCAGGAAGGAGGCAGATGAAATCAATAGAAGCAAAGCGGGCAAAGCTCACGGCAAAACCCTAAACCCTAATTCCTAAACCCTAGCCAAACTCTGAACCTCCGTGAAACCCTAAACCCTAGCCGAGCTCTGGACTTTGCCAAACCCTAAACCCTAGCCGAACCCTCGCCAAGCTCCAAACCCTAGCCAACCCCAAGGCCCTGGCGAAGACCAAGTCCAGGCCAATCCCTTAGCCCTTTCCAAACCCTAAACCCTAGCAAACCCTAAATCCTAGTCCGGTACGAAGCCAAGGCCAAACCCTAAACCATCGCCAGTCTTTCGTAAGCAGCCCTTTACAAGCAGCGGGAGCCGGGATAGCCGTGCCCCGATACCCAACTCATGTCCAGTTAAGGGTTTAGGGTTTAGGGTTTAGGGTTTAGGGTCTGGAGCTGGGTGTCACGGCATAGATAGGGGCTCGCGCCGCGGGATCTGCATCCTTTCAAAGGTTTAGTTGAATTAAATAGTAAATAATTAATTTAAAATGCATTTTAAATTCAAAATGCGCTATAAATTAATTGAAATGAATTCAAAAAGCTGGAAAACCCTCAAGAGCCACAAAACCCTAAACCCTAGCCGAGGCCCCCGCCGTGTGTCGGTGGCATATGCCCCACAGCTGTGGGGCCCGGGGGCCCCTTTGTTTCTCTTTATTTTATTTCATTTCTTCTTTATTTTAAATTAAAAATATTAAAATATTTAAAATATATTTAAATTCGAAAGTGGCAGAAAACAGAAGCCGCTGGGGGGCCCCAGAAGACTAGAACGGGGGCTTCTTGGGGGCCCCGCTGCTGCTGCTGCTGTGCTGCTGCTGCTGCTGCTGCTGCTTCTTTCTTGGCTTTGCGGTCCTTCATGCTTGCATCTGTTTTATCTCGAAACTAAACCCTAAACCCTAAACCCTAAGCCCTGCCTCGCGAGAGCCTCTTTAGAAGCCCGAGGCTTCCAGCAGCAGCAGCAGCAGCAGCAGCAGCAGCAGCAGCAGGACCAACGGCGGCTGCCGCAGCAGCAGCCGCCGCAACAGCAGCAGCAGCAGCAGCAAGTTGCAGCATTTAGTTTTAAACTGCAGCAGAGATGAAGGCGCTGGCCAAGGCTAAGAAGGGAAGCAAAAAGGAGGGGGGCCCCCAGGGCTTGGGGGCCCCCAGGGGCCCCGGGGAAGGGGCAGGGGGGCCCCCCAAAAAGGGTACAGGGGCCCCCAAAAAGGGCGGGGGCCCCCCAAAAAAGGGTTCAGGGGCCCCCGGCGTTTCTGCTGCTGCTGCTGCAGCAGCCGAGGCCAAAAGGAGACACGAAGAAGGTGATATAATGCAGGCGTATGGAACGAGAAAGTGTTTAGGGCTTAGGGTTTAGGGTTTAGGGTTTAGGGTTTAGGGTTTGGGGTTTGTGTGCAGAGGAGGAGTCGGGGGCCTCCACAGCGAGCGACGCATGGGAAAGTGAAGAAGAAGGAGAAGAAGGCGAAGAAAAGCTGCAGGTGGCGAGGGTTTAGGGTTTAGGGTTTAGGGTTTAGGGTTTTAGGGTTGCTGTTGGTGCTGCTGCTGCTGTTGCTGCTGCTGCTGCTGCTGCTGTTGCTTCTACTGCTGCTGCTGCTGCTGCTGCTTGCGGCTTCTGCTTTTCCATATTCTCTCAGAGCCCTTGTCTCTATTAATTAATTAATTTTATTTTAATTAAATTTAATTAAATTAATTAAATTAAATTAAATTTAATTTATTTAATTTTATTTTAATTCAGATTTTTTCGGAGGCAGAGAGCAGCGCGGAAGAAGAGCCTGAGGGTTCTGTGGAGTCTTCTGAAGACGAGAGCGAGGAGGGCCCCCCGGGGCCCCCGGGTACGCCAAACCCTAAACCCTAAACCCTAAACCCTAAACCCTAAATCGCGGGGCCACCAGCAGGCGCAGCTGCAGCAAAGCGCAAACCCTAAACCCTCGACTTGCTCCGAGCTGTCCCGTGCAGGCGGAGGGGACTCTTCAGATTCAGAAGAAGAACAAGGTGAGCCTAGGGTTTAGGGTTTAGGGTTTAGGGTTTAGGGTTTAGGGCTTAGGGTTTAGGGTTTAGGTTCTGGGGCGTGTAGCCGGCCGCATCTGCGCTGCCAAATAGACAGCGGGCGTTTGCTGCAGTCAGCTGTTCAGCAGCAAATTACCGGTTGACCAGCAGCAGCAGCAGCTGCAGCAGCAGCAGCAGCTGCTGCAGCAGCAGCTGGCAGCAGCAGCTTGCTGCTGCTGCTGCTATCTGGAGCTGCTGCGTCGCTGCTGCATCAAGCTGCTGTTGCTTCTGCATTTGCACGCGCTGCAGCTTGCTGCAAGTGTTTCTCACGCACACCTCTGCTGCTGCTGTTTCTGCTGCTGCTGCTGCTGCTGCTGCTGCTGCTGCTGCAGCTGAGGCCTACGTGTCTGGAGCTGAAGTGCGGCAGCTGCCGCTGGTGGACTTGGAAGCAGTTAAGGCCCGCATGGAGAATACCGTGGGCCTTTTATGTCGGGGGGCCCCCCGGGGGGCCCCCCGGGCAGCGAGGGGGGGGCTGTGGGGCCCCACAGGGGCCCCAAAAGCCGCCAGGAGCTGCTGCAGCTGCTGCGAGATGATGTAGTCCATTACTACCAATACTCTCCAGACCTTGCGGAGTACTTTCTCCAGGTTCGAACCCAAACTGCACCACGGGGGGCCCCCGGGGCGCCCCCAGGGGGCCCCCAGGGGGCCCCCAGGGGGCGCCCCAGGGGGCCCCCAGGGGGCCCCCAGGGGGCCCCCAGGGGGGGCCCCAGGGGGCCCCCAGGGGGCCCCCAGGGGGCCCCCGGGGGCCCCAGGGGGGTTCCCCTCTTTCTAGGAGGCACCCCTTGAGGGATTTGGGGGTTAGGGTTTAGGGTTTAGGGTTTAGGGTTTAGGGTTTAGAGTTTAGGGTTGAGGGTTTAGTGGCACAAGAGCTGGGGAGGGCCTGAGAAAGGGGCTGTTGATAGTGCTGCTGCTGTTGCTGCTGCTGCTGCTGCTGCTGCAGCTGTTTAGCCCCACGGAGGCTCTGGCGTTCTTTGAAGCAAACGAACAGCGGCGGCCTTTGACGCTAAGAGCGAACACATTGAAGACACGGCGGTGAGTTCCTCCTGCTGCTGCTGCTGCTGCTGCTGCTGCTGCTGCTGCTGCTGCTGCTGCTGCTGCTGCTGCTGCTGCTGCTGCTGCTGCTGCTG